TCTGAACTAGACATTAATACGGGAGAAATTCAAGTTTAGTTGATTTAAGTCCTTAATATAACACCCAAATGAAATATTAAGGCTAGGACCCAACACAATATTTTACAATTTGAAAGAGGGATGCCGTAATCCAAATCGCAAAATATTTGAAGGTAGGTAAATGACGATTTACCAATTTCCACCACGAAAAACGAAAAAGAATTTTAGGTTTTAAGTGAATTGAAACTCCTACATCCTTTGAGATTCATTGAACAATTCAATGGCATGTTTAAATCTCGATTGTGCCCTTCAACTTTGTGACTAGGATGCCGAGGATCACAAACAAGGTGTGAATAACCATGCAAATTAGCTTGGTACACCCAATGTTACAACCACCTAATCAATGTGCCGGTTAAACACACACGCTCCATTGATCTATGATTAACATCAAGCTACCCTTTGCCACGCACTATCAGTCCAGATTAGTGTGCCGGTTAACCACACATGCTCCACTAACGGCTTAACAAGGCGCAAAGTGCAATTTCATGGGTTAGCACCATATTCACATTTTCCTAAGTAACTAAGATTGCGAATTTATAAGTATTTAGTTACTTTATATATATCATTATAATTTTAATGAAGGGAAAATTAGATTCCTATCCTACCCATTCAGCTAACGACCCTCCACCAGTCAAGGAAGCGGCGGGTGAGAGTGGACACCCATTAAACTGCCATTTTATAGGTAGTATCCTTATACCCCCCCCCCCCTTCTTATAGAACGGCTTCGTGAATGAGGCCTACTAACGGTAAGACTGACTTTGTTCTTATACATATATATAAATATTAAACCTATAATATTATAATAGTATAAGGGTAGAATTTTAAACTTTAAAATTCTAGGGTTTGGAATTAAATGTTTCAAAAGTTAGACTTTTACATTTTCAAATTCCAAAACTTGAGGGCAAGTTCTGTAACTTTCAAAACCTTTTGGAATGCATAACTTATGAGTTTAATAAAGATTTTATAAAAATTCATAGCTTGAGGACATGTTATGGAGTTCATAAAAAAACATTTATGAGAAAAAACTCTTGACGTTCATAACCTATGACTTTAATGATTTCTTTAAAAGAAAACTTTTCATTTTCCATAACTTGAGGACAAGTTATGGAATTCATCAAAATCATTTAGATAAAAAATTATAACAAGAAAATCAAACAATTTGTCTATGATCTAAATTAAACTCATAAGAACAAGACAATTCACATCAAACAAATTTCATGTAATTAGCCTAACCATATAAACTAATACAAAACATGAAACTTTGATAATTATCTTATAAATTGGATAAACATGATCATTACCACATCAAAAACAAGTTTATAACATCAAAAATAGTTTAGGGTAATGATTCTAGTCCAATTCCATCCAAAAAACTCGAAAACTGCATTCTGGGGCACCAACTCGTCGAGTGTATGAACCAACTCGACGAGTTGGATGAATTTGTGCTTGGACTCATTGAGTCCACTGTCCAGAACAGCAGAAAATTGATTTTTAATGCATTTTAAAGAAAGTAGCATCAAATATAATTAAAAACAACCCTTGGCTTTGATACCACTGTTGGGTTTTGAGCATTCTAACACTCCTAAGGTGTGCATGCAACCCTAAATACCTTGGATCAATGTTTTCTCTATTATACATTCAAGCTTGAACTTTCCAAGGTATTACCCTAACTAGCATACAAACATTGATACTTGGGTAATAAAACAAGTTAGAAAACATACCTTTTGTTGTAGTTGGAAGCCTTGGACCTTTAAGAACTTAGTGCCCCAAGTGCTGCACCTCAAATGGAATCACACAACACCACCAACAATTGGACTAACTTGAGAGAAGAGCACTTGCTTCACAAATCGGCTAGCCCTCACTTCTTTTCCCTTAAAAGGGTGCCATTTCATGAGATGTGAGGCTTCTTATATAGTGTGCATATTAGGGTTACACCATGTAACTCATGACTTTCCACATTCCTCATGATCCATGGGTTTTAACCTCCATGGAGTATCCATGGGTCACCACATGGGTTTAGCCTAACATGAGGAACTATGGATCATAAGCCCACTTTATAAGAATGAATGCTTTACCAAATCAATCCCCATTTATTTAATTAGTCTCTTTTGATCACAAAATTAATTCCAAACTAATTTTTAATCAAATACTAATTAAATAATATGATTTCATATTAATATATTAGAACTTATAATATATTAATAAATCATAAATATCCTCTTCTCACAAAAGTCTATCCAAATTGTTCCGATGCCATGCAACCCAAATGGACCATGCTACTCTAGGGTCATGTACATACCAATAATAGTTATGGGCTTAGACACCTAATCCAACACTCGTTTCTATTTAGGTATACATCCTAAATATAGCAGACACTCATCTCACAATCATCGCTTAGCATTCTAAGTTTAAGCCTAGAAATATCCTAAAATTCCCGGTTCGCTTAAACTAATGCTCTAATACCAACTGTGACATCCCCATTTTCACAGACAGAAAAGACCGATTTATTATGCTTATTTAAAAATCAGAGTATCCTTTTTAAAAGTAATATTGCGGAATTTGTTCCCAGAAAAACATGATAATGATATTATTAAAGCATTTCTAAAGAAATGTATTTTTATTTATATTAAAATATTGGGATGTCATCGTCAATACAGAAACATAAGCATAACCAAATATTACAAGCCTTACAGTAATTAAACTAGTGGCCTAATACTCCTTGAATCTCTCAGCACAATGCACCTTTCATATAGCCACCTGTGATACCATAAACTGAGTGGGTCAGGTTGGGAAACATGGTGAGTACATAGGGTTTTCAACCCACAATAATATAATTATTATGTTTAATCATCAAACAATTAACCCAAGTTCCCATCCCTATTATCTTCCTTATTCTTAAGGATCTACCCCTAAGAATCATATATTCATCATTTATTCATTCCTAACGATTGTCCTAAGGAATAGGCATGAAGTCCATCGCTGCCAGGGTTTATCCAATAGGCACTAAGTCCGTAGTTGTCGATGTTATCTATTAGGCACAACTGCCAATGTTATTTATTAGGCATAGCTGCCAATGTTATCTATTAGGCACAACTGCTAATATTATCCATTAGGCGCAGCTGCCATGATTTTTAGAGTACATCTGGTGAACACGTAGTTCCAAAACACCTACAAGTTGCGAGCCTGCTAGCGTTCCACTGGATTGTCTAGAATAGTCTGTGCTCATCATCTATACTCTTCTAGATGACTGGATCAGCTTTAAAGTCAAGGCTTCTCATCATCTTTCACCTCTCATCATCTATATCATCTTTCATCTCTTATCATTCATCTACCCATCTTTACCCAATATATTTATAGGTATAAAAATACATATACAGTTTAAATCACATAAAACATGTATACATCGTTCATCCAGCATAAATATCAGGAACACATATAATAAGCACATATAACATGTACTAATATTAAATACTTCATATCTATGTGTAAGATGAAAGTAACTATGCACTCACTTGTTAAAGTGACGACTCGAAATTTGGGCAGCGTTTCGCTTCTAACAATTGTCTTTTCATTTGACGAAACCTAGTATCATTATTACTAAGTTTTATTCTAATATTTATTGCGACTAATAATTAGTCTAGATTCATCATTAATTCAAAGTCTACTTCAAAATCTATCAAGTAAGGAACAACCAGGTAGGATCATATTGGAGGTAGGGTCCGTTTGGTATACGAAATATACTGTTTGGAAATCCCACTTTAAACACCTCACTAATTTACAGCCTAGACATCATCCCCATAAGTAGATGAAGCAATATAATGACTTGGAATCACTGATAAATCTCGTTTATAGGTTCATAATAACGATAATGAACTTAAACATAAGTTATACTTAAAGTATGGTAAACATAACTCACTTACAAGGGGTTTAGCGAGAAATCGGGCTCTACGCGGGAAAAACTTTTGAGCCGAAAGCTCTTCTTCTCGGGGATTTCCGGTGCTCCGGGATTCGCTTCTAACACCTAGGAGGCTCTAGAGGAAAGGATAGATGGTTTGGGGGTGTTTGGGAGAGAAATGGATGAGAAGGTGTGAGTTTTTGGGTGAGAAATGAGCTCTATTTATAGGTTGGACAAAGTGCGTACGCAGGCCGTACTAGAGCTATACATTGGGCGTACTTAGTATGCGGGGCTTACCGCTGCCAAGTGTCACGATCGCATGTGAAGTTGTGGGGAAGAAGGTGCGGCTGAGATTGTGTCACGTGTCACTCCGGGGTTTTAATCCAAAACTAATTGTCTTCTAAAATCTGTAACTTTCGCATACGAGCTCCATTTTTGACGTTCTTTATATCCACGCATAGGTAGCGACGTGATCTACAACTTTCGTTTAGACTTCGTAGGCTAATTTTGAGTTTATTTTTAAATTTATATTTTAACAGGCTTAGACTGTTAAAGTCCGTTAAAAATTCATAACTTTGTCATCCGACATCCATTTTCGATTGTATTTATATCGTTGATCTCCTATTAACGAGATCTTCAATTATCGTTTAGGTTATGTTGGCTAAAAATCGATCGATCTAAAATTCGATTTTCGGGTTGTATACTACTATGCAAAATCTTAGAAAAATCATAACTTCCTCAAACGAAGTCAGATTTGGACATTATTTATATGCACGCTCTCAGTTTAATGTATACTATGACTTTTGTTTAGATCGCTAAGGCTAAAAAGTATTTTGTCAAAACTTCACTTTTTACGATACGCGGTGTCGTGCCGGTTTAGTCGCAAAACTTCGATGGGTCATAACTTCTTCGTTATAAATCGGATTTTAGCATTCCTTATATGTACGAAGTCCTTGTGACATATACTATAACTTTGGTTAAGATTGTTTATGCTAAATAATCTTCTATCAAAAAGTCATTTTTAGCGCTTATTATCTCTAAACTGACTAGCCCCAATCTGCGGGCGTTACATAAATTGTTCATCATGCCATGTACTTCTATCTTCAGGCGAGATTTCTGAATATTTCTTTTTTAGAAGCATCTCTTGTTTAGAATTTAACTCCTTTTCATTAAGTTGCTTAGCTAACTCTTCATCTATTTCCATTTGAGCTTCTTTAGCTAACTCGTTCTTAAGCCAGAAGACAATCTTCTGTTTTCCTCTATCCTTGGGATCAGTTTGAGGAAAATTTGGTTGAGCGATTGGTTCTGATATGGTGTCAGGTTTGGTGATGTAAAAATCTTTCCTTCTTGGAACTTTTATAGTTGGATCCTTGATCCCTTGCTGTCGAACGAGTTCCTTTTCTTTCTCTTCCATCTTTGCTCTGTTTTGTTGAGCTTTTTATCATGAATCAGCAGCCATTTTGTCAAGTGACTCTAGTTTCTCTTGTATCTTTTTCTCAAACACATTTGGTGAGTCTGGAATTTGATGTATGATAGGAGACTAACTTGATCTGGACTTGATAACCTTTTCCCCATTTGGTTCAGGTGGCCTGTCATTTGAACCAGATAACTTTGCCAAGATCAATTCTATCTTGGAATCAGTCGATGCAACTTTTTTCTAAAGCTCACGTATATCAGAAGATGAAGAGTATGTCTTGATAGCCTTGACTTCATTGACTAGCAACTGAACAGTTTTCTGAAGAGAGGATATTCACCTAAGTTATTGTCTTTCTGGGAATTTGATTTTGAGAGATTTGCAATGTCAGATTGTAATGAATCCAATTGGCGTTGAACTTTCTCACTAAATGCTTGAATGGGAGGGGTGGATGTTGATGTGGAAGCTTTAGATAGTTCTGCAATGGACTTCTCAACAATGGAAGTGTACCGGTCTTGAGAAGTGATATGATTCTGCAGATGATCTAATTTGGATTCATAGACAGACTCTAGACTGGATAAGGACTGAATAAAGTTTTCTATCTTCTGATGCATCGTAGATAGACTATCTTCAATAGTGTTGTGAATTTTATGATCTATAGTTTCGATCCGCCGCATGTTATGAATAAATTGTCCCTTGATATATGAAGTTGTTCCTTCAAAGTCTTTAATGGTGACCTGAAGTTTTTTCATATGTGCTTCTGTTGTCTCATTAAGGATACACACATTGTCTGCCATACGTTCAAGATACCCTTGAAAGTTGTGCATATCACAGTGAGAAGATTTATGTAAGAGAATTTCCGCAATACCGTCAGCTACCATCTGAGCAGTTAGTCTAATACGTTCAGTCTCAGGTTCAGATGTATTTGCTTCATTTGTATCTGTTGGAGTACCATCATCTGGAGAAGGATCACGTGGATAAGAATAGAACTTAACTTTTTGAGTATCATCATGTTCTTGAGACTCTTTTTGAGGTGAGGGAGAGTAATCATCAAGATCAATGTTGAATGTCCTGGTAGATGGTTTGGAGTATAGGACAATTGACATGTCGTGTGGTTCATCATCAACTATCAGTCCTTCACTGGAAGCTATGTCTACCATTTGCATTGGAGTATCCTTATCTTGATTATATTGTACTGGAAAGCTTTTAGGGAGATCTTCAAGTTCAAATTTCTTTTCACCATCTTGGTCATCGTCGTGAAGTGAGTCATAATCCAAGGAGACACGATTGCTTGGACTTTCTAGAACCGACTGAAAGCCTGCTGGTGAAACTGGAGTTAGGGAGGATGGTTCGTCATAATCATATGGAGCCTGAAACGAGGAGTCTAAGAAAGAGAATGGGTTAGAGGTTGTACCATATTTAGGAGGAGATCTGGTCTTATCTAAGACATCTGGAGATGGGATAGGAGGCGGTTGATCTGACTTTGATCACTTCTTATTCTTTCCCAACTTCTTGGATGCATGATCTGAGTGGTTACTCTTATTTTTAGGAGACGAAGTAGTTCCCTGGATGTATCTTTGATATGAGCATAGAGAGGCGTTGTTTTCATCCAGCTTTGCTAAGATAGTATATGGAATAATGATTGGATGTGAAAACTCAAAATCAGATGCAATATGAATCCTATATGGTGTCATACGCAAGAATTGTGGCTGTGGGCCTTCTGGAGTCCCTTCTGGTCTAAGATTCCTATTATTGATGACATCATGAATAATGATAGACCACCAGCGAGGATGATGAATCAGGAACTTATTCTTTGAGGCAAAGAGAAAGGTAAGAAAGTCTTCCCAAAGAATAGACGTGTAGTCAACATTGATGCCATCAAAAAGCCCATACATGAAAACCCAAAGATCTGTTTTACCACGAATGTGTCCACCAACTGATCCGAAAACACACCTAGTGAGGACGGAACTGAGAAAGTGCCATGGTGTGGGAAGGCAAGCTTTCCTAATTCTTGAAAGGTTTGGTTCAGTGTTTTCTTCAAATGTGTACCCCATTTCCTTGAACATTGTCAACAATTGAGGTGAAGATGGTGTGGCAAATGTCTTAGGTTGACAAGAATCATCGCTTAGATCTAAACTGATTGCAAACTCTTCTTTAGTTAGAACCAAGTTAGTTCGAAAAAGATCAAATTCAACATCAAGCCGTTTTGACTTTTCTCTTGGGGAGATGGCTGCAGATTGAAAGACTCCTGAAACAAGATATTGTGGAGAAGTAGAAAGGAGTGCATATGCTAATCGACATTTTTGAAAATATTCAACTATAACACCGAGTTCAATAGGTTTTTTCTTGTGTTTTAAGAAGTGCAATATAGTTGGATGCAGCCATTGCGATTTTAGGTGATTATGATTTTGTCACAGTGGAGGGTCTAGTTGCTTGAGATTTGGATGTCTTATGAGAAGCCTTTGCTTTAGAAGTCTGTCCATCTTCTTTGGAAGCCATGTCTTGAGAGAACAAAAGAAGAACAAAAATTGGAATGAATTTTTAGTTAAAGAGATATAGATAGAGAGTAGTAGCATATAATCTTAACTAAAATCCAAAAAAAGGAGGGGGGTAAAAAGAAAAAAAATATATGAATTTGCCTTAAGTAAAAAAAGTTTTGACTTGAGTAGTATTGTTGATTCAGCTATAGACGAGAGGAATCTGCAAATTCAAATTCACTAAGTATAGGCCTGAAAGTGAATGACATAACAACTAGGAATAAAAGAGAAAGGCCTTGATGTCATATAAAACAACCAAACAAAAAACAAAAAAAAATTGATATTACTAAATCATAGCAAAAGTGCAAGGATCAAGTAAAATTGCTAAGTCATGGCCTATGATGACTATGGCATATCAAATAAAGATGTATTTAGAAACTAACAAAAAAATTAGGTATCATAGAGATAGTAAGTGACAACTATATGTTGAATCTATATGCCCAAGAATCATTATGGAGTGATATTGCTAATAATATATGATCTTATAGGGTCACACCTTTATCAAGTTGGCACATTTTGTATATTTATTAATAATGTGATTATTAATAAATAACATCGATCCTTGTATTTTAATTAGGGTATAATTATTTTTTTGATGAAAATAATAATTATAAAAGAGTATTACTAGTTTATATCATATGGTATGATTTAATACGTCATGTAGAAAATTTTGGACACTTTGGTTAACCATGATTAAATTAAAGACTTACTCTACCATGGTTAATAAAGTTGGAACCAATTTTTGTCTCTTCCAAGACCCATGGCTGAAACCATAAGCAAGCATGGGAGGTTGCTTGTCAACCTCCCCACTTAGTGTCACAGGGTCACCTGGTCATTAGGATTGGATTATGCTGTTCGGGGTAGTTTTGTAGTTTCTGGTTTTTAAAGGATCACCTTGTCACTGGTTAGTTACAATGCTACAAGTTGTTTCAAGTAGGATGACTTGATCAGAATCTTGTGTGATAAAGGTCACCTAAGCATGAGAGGTATGAGGCATAGATGGGATAAACATGCCAAGTTAAGCAATAGTTGTTTAGGATCCCATATCTAGGAGTTACATATTGTATGCAATTGGTAATCGCTACCTACCGAGTTTGATTAAGTTTATGAGATAAAGGTCACCTAACCATTTACTTGTTTCGTTACTTGGATCCTAGACTTTAATAAATTAATGTTTTAAGAAACAATAAAAGGTATTAATTTTTAAAGACTCAATATTGAAAATACTAAATGAAACTTTGTTAAATTCTGTTGATAACTATTAATAATTTTACGCCCTGCAAAACCTCTCTCTTGTTGAGTTTCAAGAGATAGTAACATTTGATGATTATAATTTCTATAACTAGTATAATATCTTGAGGTTCTACCTTAAGGATAAATAGAAATTATATATACTAAAAGATCCCATACCTGAACAACCTCTACAAACCAGTCAGTCTGATCATGATGCTTTGATGGAAGCATTATTGTGATGTTGTTGACATGTCTCACATCATACTGGAGTAATTGACCTTGAGTTGCAGAAAGTCTTGGATAATTATGAAACATATCAGATGTCTCATCAAGTAAAACAGATACTCAATCAGAATACTATGTTCAAGCATTGAATAAAAGGAAGTCTAAGAGATTGTGTACTCAAATAGACTTATAGTTCAGTTAAGGGATATACAGCATGAACCCAGAAATCAAGAAAGGATCTAAATGATTAGTGTTGTTTCTATTGTGGAAGAAACTATACACTAAAAGAGAAATTGCTTCTCTAATCTCATTGAGCTGAAGAAGTCTGACTTGGACAAGACTTTAGATATCTATATGATAAAACTATTTATTCTTCGATCATTTACTTGAGTATGTTATACTTCAAGTGACACTAATAATTGATATTATGTGCTAATGATTGGAATAAATAATCAATTGATTACAAACGAATGGTATTTTATGCTAAAGATATAACAAGTGATGTTATAGTCATTATACAAACAATAGATGTTTTGTACCTATTCTTATAGGGACATGTAACAGTTGTAATTTATGAATAAATCTAGATTTACTTATCGTTTAATGGATGTTCACATTCGTGATCTGAAACGATGATTTCTGTGTTAAAGAATATTTTCTCATAATGTTAATTATGAAGTAAATCTATAAGCTTTCATTAAATTGATAGTTTTGATCATAATACCTAAATGATCAAATGATATTTATTTTAAAATTATCTATGTCATAATCATCATGACTATATAAATAAAAAATACATATACCAACTTCAAAAGGATGGAATTTTTTAAGGAAAATGAGCTTGATTCATTTGATATATGTGGATCCTATTTATATGGGAAAGTGATTCACAAGTGTCTTTACCTATTAGTAGTTAAAGAACAAAAGGCTTGACAAAGAATTATACATAAGTGATGTATGTAATCTTTTCAGTCCATGAATAGATTTGGTGATAGATACTTAGTTAATTTCACTGACGACCTTTATTCGGTATGGTTGAAACTTTTGATTTGCTCAAATTGTTTCATAGTGAATATTGAAATACAACTTAATGAGATCATCATTAACCTTTCGTTGTGATAAAGAAAATGAGTTTTGTAAACCAAGTCTTCTTGGAACATCTTAGGAATTGTGGAATCGATTCACAACTCATTCCAACAAAAACACTCACTCGTCATTAGTATGGTTCTTATGGCACAGGATCACCTGGTCACTTGGATCTATCTTTTGATGTTCGAGGTAGCCTTAGAATTCTCTAGTGGGATAGGGTCACCTGGCCACTGGTTGAATGTCGATAGTACAAGTTTTTGAAGAGGATAAACCATAGACCTTGCAGTCTATTATATGATGTTTTAAAAGAACTATTTACTATATAAATTTTTGGAATTATGCTAACTGCAACAAATATATATTGAATATATATTTCCAACCAAACAAGTGGATTAGATACTTATATGATACTGAGGATGAAATGGTTTATCCTTATCTAAAAGGTATAGAGTTCTAAAGTTTATGTTAGACAATAAGTTTAACCACTCTAGCATCTACTAACTGCATTTATGTAGATTATCCTAAATGATTGTTTAGGATGAAGTTTCAACTAATCCCACTAATTATAATTCCATAAGACAAGTGATTAGAAAGTTCTTTTTCTAAGTGTGAGCAATTTGGAGCTTTAAGAGCTAGAGAACCATAAACTAAATGTGTCATAGTTTGGAACTAGCAAGTTTTCAACTGTTGTTGAATATGCTCAATAGTTGATCAGAAACTAATAAAACACATAGCGATGCATTCATGTATGATTATCAAGTATGGGCTTGATTAATCTTCCTCGATATAGTTTGACTATAAAGAGTAAGTGAGTTTTCAAGGGAGAAAACATACATGAATGAAAATCTTCTCAGATTTAAGCTGACATCTCAAAGTAAGAATCTTCTTTCTTATAAGATAATTACATAGTGTGATTTGATAATAAATCAAGATGACTCTTGTGTTTTTCTACAAATCTAGTGGAAGCGCAGTGACATTCCTAATGTTATATGTAGTCGATAATGGCAACTTAAAGGATAGATAATGGCAACTTAAAGGATTAAGTAAAATTGCATTAATCATCAAGGATATTAAAGAGCTTAAGATAAAGGACTCTGAGAGAGTTATCTTGTCAAATGCTACATGACAAGATTTTGAGCACTCCTCAAAATCCAAGTACAATGTTTTGAACTAGATAATATTAATGTATTCCATATGTTGTTGCAATTGGATTAATCATATATTTCATGGTTATGCATAAAGGCCAAATAAGTTGTATGCTTAGAGCATGTCGAATGATGCCAATATATTCCGAGAACAAGTCATTCTGTGACTTATAGGAACATTCTAAAGTACTTGCGAGAACTAGAGAAATATTCCTAATTTACAGAGTATTTGAAAGAAAGCTATGTTTAATGTTGTTACACATGTGCTAAATTTTCAAATAGATTGAGATGACTCTCAATCACAATCGGGCGTGTCCTCATTATGAATGAAGAGAAAATTACATGGATTGTGGTTCCATGTAGATTTTAATTACAGTTATACATCAGAGTTAGAGTACATTGTGGTTTGGAGAACCACATACAAAGAAGCTTAATGTATAGTTCGTTATGACTATGAGTAATCCCATTATGCAAGTATTGGTATCTAAGTCATATTTAAGCATGTAATTCATTCTCAATAGTTTTCTTTATATATGAGTTATATATAAGACTGAAAATGTTTGTATTCGCAAAGTTTATACAAATCAAGTTTGTCAGATCTACTTAACAAAGCTACTTTATTAGCTAAAGCATGAAAGTTAAACTGTTGTTATAGGGCCTTATTGATATAAGTAGATGTATTTGATTGAAATTTAGTATTTGGATACTGGGACAACAAAGACAACATATATTGTAATGAGTTAAGATATTGGATATGATTCATTTATTAAATAATTATTGTGTTCTATATTAGCATGTTTAAATCCTTAAATAACTAGGTTATTCTAAATGTCCATAGTCGTTCATAGATGTGGGAGCATCTATGAGGTAAGACTAATATGAGTGGATTGGTGGATTATCATGCAAATGAGAATAGCAAGATCTGCTACCAACTTCATAGGTCTTTGAGTAGGATAATAAGTATTGGACTTGACCCGCATCAAAATCACTTTATGGATCGTAGTCAAGAGTGATATTTTGATCAAGGTTGTATCTTTGTGTTATTAGACCTGAGATACATATTAGGACTTTAAGTGTAGGAATTGTTGTGCTTTGACATGTTTAAACGTTGTTTCGTAAAAGGCAGTTATAAGGGCCATCGTTGGGTATGACATGAAGTATATTGATGGGCGTATGTAGTCGAGATGGGATTTGTCCCTCTTGTTCGTTGAGAGATAGACATCTAAGGCCTTAATCAAAGTTGAACACTAAATGAGATTGATTGTGAACCATATATTATGTTCAACATGATGTCTGAGACAAAGGAAAGATTGATACCACATCTTTAGTAACAATTATAGCTTAGAGCTCCTGGAATTGGCTGTTGATGATATGACACCTTTCATATGTTATTAGGGGCAGTAGCCCATTGCTAGACGTCAGCTAATGTCTATTTCAGTCTATAATGAATCTTGTGCAAGTGGGAGATTGTTGAATCTATATGCTAAAGAATCATTATGGAGTGATATTGCTAATAATATATGATCTTATAGGGTCACACCTTTATCAAGTTGGCATATTTTGTATATTTATTATTAATGTGATTATTAATAAATAATATTGATTCTTGTATTTTAATTAGGGAATAATTATTTTTTGATGAAAATAATAATTATAAGAGAGTATTACTAGTTATTATATCATATGGTATGAATTAATAAGGCATGTACAAAGTTTTGGACACTTTGGTTGACCATGATTAAGTTAAAGACTTACTCTACCATGATTAATAAAGTTAGAGACAATTTTTTTGTCTTTTCCAAGACCCATGGCCGAAACCATAAGAAAGCATTGGAGGTTGCTTGTCAACCTCCCCACTATGTTCCCCATGCCCTTAAAGCAAGGTCATTACTTTATATTAATTAATGGGGTTGCTTTTTTGCTTTTCATGGACTATATAAGAGAGTGCATGGAGCTTGTTTTTGGCTAGTGAAACACTCTCTTCTTCTTCCTTTCTTCTCACCAAAAGCGTAAGTAGCAAAGTGCTACTCCTCTTACTTTTCTTTTGAAGATCATTCAAGTCTTTGGTGGTTCAAAGTGATTCTCCTTTAGTGCTTATTTGAGTTAGACACTTAAAGGATTAAGAATTACTTTATACAATAAGGGACTAGCATTCCAAGTACCTTAATCTTGATGGTGGATTCTTGTAGAGTAGATCATGTTCTTTGATCTTTACATCTTCATCAACACCCCAAAACCAAGTGGGTTCAAAGGTTTAAAAGGTTGTCATTCTAAACACTCTTTGGTTGTGTTTTTATTTCATTCTAACCTCTATAAATGGATCCATGATGGTTTGGTTTTGTTATAAACTAACAAATAAACTTGTTATTTATTAAAGACTTCCGTTGCCAGTTTTTTATGAAAAACTAGCTTATATTTTGTATCAAAACTCATCACTATATATGTAAATCCAAGAACACATAGAATAGTGAATGGATTTAGATAAAGTTGAAAAAGAAAATAAATATTTTGATCTTAAAAGAACATATAAAAGACATGAAATTAAAGATCACAAAATAATAAGAAAAGAGACATTACCTTAAAGAAGAAGACTGAAGGTAATAGACTTGTAAGAATGAAAAGCAAGATATGCACCAATAAGTAAAATGCTCACATGAGAGATTTGATCAAAGGATCAACACTAAATAACCTAAGCATGGTATGTAAAGGTGAATCAATGATCAATAAAAAGAAAGCAAAACAAAACAAAAACA